GTGTTAAGGCTTACAAAATCTCAATAATTACAACCCAATAAATCTAGGTGAGCTATTTATACAACTTTACAAACTCGTTATAGAATACTAATTGATCACTTGAGCTCCTTTAGCTAAGATCACTTGATCAAACTTGCTTATACAAACTTGACTACTCACCATTAAGGACAAATTCCAAAATAGATCGTTGCAGGGCCACCATAAAAAAAAGACATGGCCGCAAACACAAGTAGCACAACAAAACAACACACACGTCAGCAAAAAGCTTAATTAAACAATGTAGTTCAAACTACATTACACATTGTACTAATACAATTCTTTACTCAACTCTCTATCCCATAAGTGTGTCATGCTCTTTGTTCTATACCTAGCCTTGGACATGTGTAATTCGAATAAATAAACCAACAACTATAAAAACTTGAATACTCTCAATAACCAGAAAACACCTTGAGGCAGACCACATACGGGTCAATCCCACTGTAGGGGACCATAAAAAAATAAAGATTGTACCTCATTCTTTAACTCATTATTATTATCTCCTAACCAACATTCCAAAGACTAAGGTATATAATGTTGAGCCTCAAACCAAGAACAATATAAATAATTCTCAACCTTTTGATCTCATACATTGATCAAATAATCATTCGCATGATAATAAATAATATCTCAATATTGGCAAAGGTTCCCAATTCATATATGACGACATATTCGGTTCATAAAATATCTCAACTCTTATAGGACTAATACTGGTACCCAAAATTAATCAAATCTCAACCCAAAAATAATACTCCACATTAGCAACCCTAAAACCTCAATAAAACAATACTTCCTATAGCAACAACATGAAAAACCCTAGAAATAATTGTATAATTAATTATATACAACAACAATAATATGATATTCAAATCAAATCATGCAATATCATAATAATTAATCATATATACAAAGAGAGTACCAATAATAAATCATATTACACATAATAATACAAAATATATTTTACAAATATCTTCAATTTTTGTGTGATTACCTCACGGAAGCATGGTTAAATTGCCGTATAACATGACTTGCGTAAGGTAATAATGGACTCTATTTGGTTAATAAATGGATATTTGCTTTAATTTAGTAGTTGATCATCAAAAGGGTAATGATTGCTCGTTTGATATATATATATATATTGAGAAGGGAATATATATATATATAGGTGTTTCGAAGGTTTTTGTCCCTTGGGAGAGTTACAACACTGAGAGGATTCAGCAAAGGGCGCCTGTACCTGCAAAGCAAACGGACCGCCGGATAGTCGGTGGTCCGCCTCTGAAGATTAAGTTAGTAAGTATTCGGAGTAAAACGTGCGGAAATAAAGTTATCTGCTCGGATTCCAAGCTCAGGTAGAGTGCTATCTGTTCCTTGAAAAGGACAATTCTGTAATAAATGTGAAAGTGACGTGTTATCTCGTATTGCGTGAATTCTGTCATAAATGTAGGAACTGTCCCTATTTATAGGGTCTTTTTGATAAGTGTGCCCTCCCTAGGATCTAGTGACCTAGGGATTAGGTCACGCCGTAAAACGGTGCCTCAAGGTTTGGGCCCTTGAAGGCCGCCATTCCAGAAGCAATGTTTGAGTGACACGTGTCACTGAGCCCAAAGGGCTTTTGGGCATCTCTTAGGGTTACACGTGTCACCCTCTTAATGGTCCATGCTGGATCATCAATCATCCCAGAATGGTGGGATAGCTGCCTACCATGTGTCGTCATCTCAACGGTTCAAGTGACACCTTTACCTATGACACGTGGCGGCTTCTAATTAGGCCACTTGGCCGGGTATAAAAATACCCAAATCATTTGCCCCTCACAGGGGTCACGTGCATTGCACGCGACACCTGTGACAAGTGTCAACATCCGACTAGTCGGATTTTCAAATTGTATTTTTGGGGGGAAAAATTAGGGTTTACCCTTTCTATAAATAGAAGGTTTTAACTTCCTTTTGGATTCACATTTGCGTGAATCTTCAAGGAATCTTGCATCTTCTGACTTTCAAGGACTTTGACTTTCCAAAGCATCCGACAGCCGGCCCCCTTAGTTCGCCTGCTTCATCAAGCGCCCAAGACCGACGTCTCTCGTTACCTTCTTCTAAGGTAACCGCCAGATCCCTTTTTCCCTTATTTTTTACATTTTTCTTTTATCGAAATGGTTTCCCAAACGCACACGGCACGGCTTAGGTTAGCGATCAGTCGGTCGCCGGGGACGGCTGAATCTTGAACTAGGAGTGTCGAATGCTCGTTCGAGAACTTTACTTTAAGTACATCTCCAAATCCGACAGTTTCTGTGCCTCTGCAGGACACGATGGCCAGAACAAAGCAAACGACCAGGAGATATAGAGCGGATGGTAGCTTTTACCATCGGACAGTGAGACTATCGATTCCGATGGCTTCATTAGGGTGTTTGTCTCTGAGGTTAGCAGAGACCCGCCTACACTACTACAAATCCCTTAGTTTCTAGACGCAGTTGGCTCGACGCAGTGGGGTGGGCGTCAACTGAAAAATTTGATGCCGCTTTTTCTCGACGCTTTTTAGCATCGAACGGTTTTCTAGACAGCAAAAAGCGTCGAGAAAAAGTCACGTGTATATCACGTGTATATCATTCTGCATTCCTCGACGCTTTTTGTTGTCTAGACTACAAATAGACGTAAAAAAGCATCGAGAAATTGGCACATGTTTTGCACGTGGTAACATATATCGCTTTTCGTCGACGGTTTTTCGGGTCAACAAGTGCCCTTAAAAATAATTTTATACGAGCCGTGCCTTATTATTTTAGCCCGGGGCTTTTAAATTTTGTGAAAAATTAGGCGGTGCTTTTAAAAAAAAATCAAAATTACCAATGCAAATTAAATTAAAATATTAAAAATATATTATGAACTAGTTTCCTTAATTCCAAATAAAAAAAAACATCGATCAGTTTCATTACTCAGCTCCATCAAGAACGACCACGCTGCTACTTTCTCTCGTCTGGTGTCGTTCTTCAACTGCAGCAGTGATAAGGTAATGTAAAACCTAATTAAGTCTTTCTATAGATCACTCTCGCACTCATGAATTCTATCAATTCTTCATTATTTTGTAATTTGCAAATTTCTTAACAAATTAGGGTTTGAAGTTGTGAGAAGTTCTTGCTGTCAATTTCATCAATTTAGAGTAATCTTCTTCCCTTTCTTTATAATTTTGATGTCTTTATACTCGATTTTCGTTGTTATACCTCAAATTTTAATTTTTTTCTTCAATTTTCAATGAAATTGGGAATTGTTGTCCTAAGTCAAAACGAAAGTGAAGGGATCGAATTACGTTCGTATTGGAGCAGCTACAATAAAGACGCAGGACAAAGGGAATCCAAGCTTCAAACAGGTGAGTAGTATATTTTTGTTTTCTTATTTGATGTCGTGAATTATGTTGATGTTATGTTGCTTGCGTGCTATTGCTGTTCTATTGGCTAGCTAGAGTCGTTTGTTGTTGTTTTGTATTTTGGGAAATAATATGTGTTGATTCACTTGAATTTTTCTATGAGTATGTCTCTGTTACTATGTGTTCTTTCTTTTATGTTTGCTGATTTTTTAAAGTCAATTATATTAGTTCTTAGCTTAATGTGCTTACTATCTTAATGGATTGTAATTTTGTAGTTGTTATTGAAATTATGTAATGATTTTCTAGGCGAGGTAGGTAATTCGGGTTGGATGTTCTGCTTATGATATGTTGTTGGATGATTGGTATGTTTTGGGGATACTTTTGGAAGTCTGATGCATCGTTGGTTGTTCTGCTGGAATTTAGTCTGTTGGTGTTAGTTATGCTTTGTTCCGAAGATACAATTGAAGACTGCCTCACACTAGTTTGTATGATCCTTGTTGTTTTTTGTTTCGTACTTGTGAAGTGTGGTTTGTTTTGTGGCAATGTGCTTCTGTTTGTTTTATGTATTGGGAGATGATGTTCTTCTGTTGGTGTTGTTCTTTCTTTTGTGTTTTCTGAATTTTTTTAAGTCAATTATATTGGTAAACTAAATTTCTCCATAGTTCTTAGCTTAATTATATTGATAAACGGAGGATAGGTATTGTTGTTTAGTCAATTATAGAAACAGTTCCTTCATATGAACTAACTATTTTTGTCAGATTATACACTTTACCAAAAGAATACCTTATTCGAACAATAATAATAAAATGATCCATAATCTGGAATTATTTATATACCTGCAATTTAATGGTGAAATATTGTATAAAGCTAGATGTCAATGTCATTTTCTAAAGGAATAAAATCAAGACTTATGTGGGAAATTGGGTATTAGGACACGTTGAGTTTCTGTAAATGCAAATCTCATTGTTTACATCAATTGCATGGTATTATCACTACTTGTGTCAGATTATTTATTTGGACTATCTATATTGCTAGCTAGCTTTTCATATTCATAATCTTCTTCTTCTTCTTACTTATTACTATATAAGACGGCAACCAATTTAATAATGCTAACACTATTAGTTAATAATGCTAACACTATCTATAATTATTTATTAATAATATTTTGTATAATAAATATTGATTAATAATTATTCATTTTTTTTGTAGACATGGATAATAGTTGGATAGAATTACCTAAAGGTGATCCTAACTATTATAAAGGTTGCATGAAATTCTTAGACCTTGCTAAAGAGACTATTTCACAAAATACATTGTTAACTCGTTGCCCATGTAACAAGTGCAAGTTAAGTAAATGGTTTTCGGTAGATGAAGTTGGAGGCCATATTCTATTTAATGGATTTTATAAAAATTATAAAAATTGTGTATTTCATGTTAGAGATAAAGGGAGTACAACCTCTAGTATAAGTAATAGTCAAGAAAAGATCGTGGGTCGAGATGATATGGACGGGTTACTTAGAGCAGCTTTTAGAGTTGATGATCCATAACCCACTCAAGAACCCCATAATCAATCATTATCTGAATCTAGTATCGAGGATGTCGATTTGTGTGGCATGGATGAGGGGTTAGATCATAACACTCAATCACCTTTCACAGGTGAAGAACATGTAAAGTATAATAAACTCATGGAAGCTTCTGGAGAAGGCTTATATGAGGGTTATACTACCTTTTCAAAGCTTTCATTTCTATTGCACTTGTTTCATCTAAAGTGTATGTTTCATTGGTCTGCCGAGTCATTTAATAAATTACATGAACTTCTATTAGACGCATTTCCTATCATTAAGGAGTTTCCATCGTCTTATTATGAAGGCATGAAAGTAATCAATGATTTAGGATTGGGATATGAGAAAATCCATGCATGTCCAAATGACTGCATGCTATATTGGGGTGAATTTTCAGAAAAAAGTGAGTGTCATATATGCCATGCATCAAGGTGGAAAATTGTGAAAGGAAAGGAGGGTGATGTAAGTGAGAAAGGTAAAGAAACATGTAAGAAAGGTGAGCCGGCTAAAGTAATGCGGTATTTTCCCCTCATCCCTAGATTAAAGAGACTGTACATGTCTTCAAAAATAGCAGAGGACATGAGATGACATTATAATCATGAAGATGATGGCATTATACGGCATCCTGCGGATGGAGAGGCTTGGAAGAAATTTGATGAAAAATATTTAGAGTTTGCCGCCGATCCTCGTAGTGTTAGATTGGGCCTTGCTAGTGACGGTTTTAATCCATATCGTCTAATGAATACCAACTATAGTACGTGGCCAGTGGTCCTTATTCCATATAATTTACCGCCATGGCTTTGCATGAAGTCGTCATCATTCATTCTATCTACTATTATTCCTGGTAAATCCGGTCCTGGTATGGATATTGACGTGTACTTGCAACCACTGATTCATGAGTTAAAATTGTTGTGGCTAGGTGTTGATGCCTTTGATTCTTATAGTGGAAAGAACTTTAAATTGCGAGCAGCCTTACACTCCACTATTAATGACTTCCCGGCATATGCTATGTTGTCGGGTTGGAGTACAAGAGGCTACAAAGCTTGTCCATCTTGCACTGATTCCACGTATTCATATAGATTTGGCGGTAAACTTGTGTACCCCGGGCATCAAAAATGGTTGCCAATTGATCACCCGTATCGTTAGCAAGCTAATTCATTCGACGGGAATGAAGAATATGGTCTTGCTCCGGTTCCTGCAAGCGGTACTGAAGTTTTGAAGCAACAAGATAAGGTAAAGTATGTTTATGGGAAATCCAAAAATGTTCCAAAAAAAAGAGGAAGAAAGAATGCTGATGATGATGATGATGACGCCGACTTAGTTCTTTGGAAAAAGAAAAGTACATTTTTTGAGTTAGAGTACTGGGAGCATAATTCTCTTAGGCATAATTTAGATGTTATGCACATTGAAAAAAATGTGTGATATTTTATTAGGAACTCTTTTAGGTATGGGAAACAGTAGAGATGATAGAAGTGCTCGAGAAGCCCTCGAGGGTAAAAATATAAAGTCTCATCTTTGGATTGACCCTCAAGGTGACATCCCTCCAGCCCCTTACACCATGTCTAATGAGGAGAAGGAACGGTTTTTAAAAGTTTTAAAGAAACTTAAAGTTCCTGATGGATATGGATCTAATTTGCAAAGATGTGTGAACTTGAAGAAGCGAAAACTTATTAATATGAAAAGCCACGATAATCATATCCTCATGCAAGATATCCTTCCTGTCGCTTTAAGGGCGTCGAATGCCACAAAAGTTATTGACTTGCTTGAGGAGTTGTCAGATTTTTTTAAAAAGATATGTTCAACCACTATAGATACAAGAGAATTAGATGCCATTCAGTCAAAGCTTGTGCTGACTCTTTGTAAGATGGAGATAGAGTTTTTACCTACATTTTTTACAATCATGGTTCATCTAATTATTCATTTAGTGGATGAGGTTAGACTTGGCGGACCAGTTCTTTACAGATGGATGTATCCCATTGAAAGGTTTGTGTTTAAATACTTTTTTTTTTCTTTTGTTATTATAGATAAAAATTCATTCCAATATTTTCCAAATTCTTTCACATTCACACACATAATCACTTTTTTTATTTCAAGGTACTTGGCGTTTTTGAAATCTCATGTAAGCAATAAAGCGCAACCGGAGGGATATATAGCAGAGGGGTATCTTTTATGGGAGACAATTGCATTTTGTTCGATATATTTAGAAAGTGTTGAGACCATATTTAATAGACCAAGAAGGAATGAAGATGGCGTGGCCGACGATGAGAACTATCTGTTTAACTCTGGTGGCCGTGTTGTTGGAAAGAAAGAAAATGTTCGTTTGGATGATAGAAGTTTAAAACAAGCACATCGCTATGTTTTACTTCATTCTGATGAAGTGACACCGGTGCTTGAGTAAGTAGCATTATAGGTTTTTTTTTTCTCTTCGTTAGTAATTTGACATTTTGAATTTTCTATAGTGAGTTCATAACACTAAAACGACAAGGGAATGAAGTTGGAGGAAGCCAAGCAAATGAATCCATTGAAAATCAATGGATAATTAATGAATTTCCTGATTGGTTATTAAGCCAGGTTATATGCTTCAAAATTAGAAATTTCATTTTTCTTTATCTTTTTTTTTAATACACCTATCTTAGATTAACTTTGTTCATATTGAATTATAGGTCAATAATCTAAATGATAGCACGGTAGAAGGAAAGTTAAGAAAAGCCTTAGCTCGTGGCTTGAGTAACCGTGTGAGAAGGATGAAAAGTCTTTTTATTAATGGCTATAAATTTGATATTACCGATCGTGAGAAATTTCGAACAACTCAAAATTCTGGAATCATGGTGGAAGCGGAGGGTCAACAGTATTATGGAAAACTGAAAGATATATTTGAGTTAGATTATTACGGTTTTTGTAAAGTTGTAATGTTTCGTTGTCATTGGGTAGATATACATAGGGGTATCAAAACATACCCGAGCGGAAGTGTTCGTGTCAATTTCTCAAAGTTGATGCACACCGGTTGAACTTTGCATGATGATCCATTTGTTTTCTCATCTCAAGCAAAACAAGTTTTATACGTTGAGGACGAGATACAAAAAGGATGGTTTCATGTTGTTAAGACTAAGCCTAGGGACTTGTTTGATATACTTGAATAATTAGCTACTTTTAGATCTTTTTTATACTATGTTTGTTATTTGATATGACTTGTTGCCAATTTAGTCAGCTTAACAGAAGATTGATTTTTTTTTTTTTCTATATTCTTATGTTATTATATTATATTCGTACATTTTATATTTGGTATGCTTGAGATGAGAAAACAAATGGATCATCATGCAAATAATTGCGCTGTTCTTCTGCTATTTTCTGCCGTTGCTGTTGTTCTGTACTGTAGTTGCTGTTCTTTTGCTGTTTTCGTCGTTGGTGCTCTATAATTGCTGCTGCGTTTGCTTTCTGCTGCTGGTTGCTTACTTGCTGCTATTATTTGCTTTGAATTTTTTTTTCTCAATCATATTAATCTGGCTTCTGTTTCATATTTTCATTATTAATGTTATTCTCTTCACTTAGTTGTTGTCTTGCAAGTTTAACATGATCTTTTTATATCATTTATCTTGTAGTGTTAGAAAAGATGACTTATCGAAGCAAGAGGGCAAGGGACATACTTGCGGCTGCAACTAAGGGACGAGATACTCTGTCGTCACAGCCTCCAAATACAACTATTGCAGACCAATCTTCTGGAAGTGAAGCTGCCTCACCACCCACCAAAAAGCAAGCTGTTGGTTCATTAAAATTTGATGAGGTGCAGAATGAGAAATGGGGGCCATTTGGTCCACCGAAAACCACTACTTCTGCACAATCACCTTCTATCAATCCCGAATCTATTTGGAAGAAACCTCCTACTACACCAACACCAAGTTTAATTATGGAAGCTGCTAAAGACAAACAAGGTTGCTCGCAAAAAACTACACCCAAACTTACTGCTATAGTCTCACCTAATATGCCACCTAACATGCCACCTATTGCACCTGAACCATTCAGGCACCCTTCTACTTCTTCTTCTGCTACTCACCAACCATTCAGGCACCCTTCTACTTGCTCTCCTGCTACTCACCAACCATTTAGGCACCCTTCTACTTCCTCTCCTGCTACTCACCAACAATTTGACCTCCATCAACCTTCGAAACAAGGACTTCAGAACCAAGCTTCAAGTGCTGCCAAAAGTTCAAATGCAGCTCCACAGAATAAGAATCAAACACAACAAAACATTGGTGAAGCTTCAAAAGAGGTCCCGAAAAAATCCAAGTCTCTACGGCATAATTTACTTCCAGATTGGCGTGAAGACATTGAGTTCGATGACAAGGAGGAGGTTTTGACCATAGGTAATTTATCTTAATTAAATCTTCCGTTTGTAGTTTTCAATATTATGTCTTGTGAATATATAATTCTGAAGTTTAGGCTAATGATCAATTGATGTTTCGTTTTGGTCGCCTCTTCAATTGATCTACAGCTTTTTAAGATTTTTATTTGTGATTTTTATTTGTCATCTTGGTTGTACTCAAAGTGACCGAATTAGGCTAGATAGTTTGTTCAGCATTATGCCATCTGGACTTAATTTTAGGTTTTTGAAGTTGGCTGGTATTGTTTGTAGATTTTGCTGCTTCAGTGGTATTCTTTTTCTTGCTATTTGATGTTTTATTGAAGATAAAATTTATTTGGTTGTTTGACTTGTATTTGATTTGGCAGTCTTATAATGTATTTTGTACTGTTTTATAGAATTATATTCTGATGTTATGTATTCTGATGCTTATCATGAATAAAAAGGCTTATATTGTTGTTCTGTTTTTTGGCCGTTACAAAGCTGTATGTGAGGTGATGTTTTTGGTATGTCCAGCCCTAATATATGGGTTTTTTGGACACCAACACTTAGTTTTAAGTGCCTTGTGTCTTGAATGGATGAATCTCCCGATGTTCATAATTTATTTTGTAAGGTAATTTAGTATACTGATTGACCTTTGCTATCCAGACGATGAGATTTTGTGAAGATCCTAGTGATTATAGAATGTTTTGGACCATTAGTTCTTGCTACTATCAATTATTTCCCTGGTCATTGGAATAATGATTCTCATATCTTTTCTTAGTTGACTTCTACCATATCATGTGCTACTCTATTCCCTCCTCGCTTGACAAAAGACCAAGTCATATCTTTTCTTAGTTGACTTCAACCAAATCATGATTATGTTGCTGATTTCTATCTTTGATAGTTTTACTGATTTATTGAGATGATATAATCTTATGATGTTGCCTCTGTTTTCTGTTAATTACCTTACATGGTATAGATGACAAGGGTAATACTACATTGGTGAGTGGTGTAATTCATCCAGTTGACGTTTTGAATGCTAAAGGCTTCAAGTACGTTGTGGAATTCAATGATCTTTGCCAACCGATTAGGAAAGGTGGACATGTTTTGATTAAATTTATTGGTTATTTGGCAAAGATGGAGTCCCATTGTCCACTTGGACCAACAGATTGGAAAAAAATCGACGGGACTATAAAAGGGAATGTAGTTACAAATATGCGAGTACGTACAATTTTCCCCCACTCAAATTTCTTTTCTTTTCTTTCTATGGCGTACTATATACTTCACTATATTTCAGTGTGTTACACTAATTTTTTTTTAAAGGACCACTTTGTGATTCCCGATGGTAAAGAATACGACAAACAAGCTTTGCAACGTGCCAATAAAGCATGGACACAATATAAGTTTGAATTGAAAAAGCTATATTTCAAGCCAAAAGAAAAAACAATGGGTGAGATGAAAACACAACCACCAGCAAGAATTAGCCCCCTGAATTGGACAGCGTTAGTAGATTATTGGTATTCTGATAAAGCACAAGTAAGAACAATTAGTTTCATCATGTTTCTTGGAAGGATTTGTTGGAAATATCCTTTATTTTAATTATTATTTGAATAACTTGGAAATGAGGTTAGGGTATGTTGCTAAATCCGAAGTGTATTCTAAGTTTCTTAATAGTTTATGAGTTATGAATGAGTCTAATGAATTTCTCCAAGCCTGAGCAGATAGTGACATCATTTCTAGATAGGATTTTTAGTCCGCTACGTTAATAAGGAATTATTTTTTACAGTGCTCAGACCATCAGGCTTATGTGGTCGACTATCTAATTTAATTTTTTTAGTGTCATCTTATCTGATGCTTGTTTATTGTCAACAACATAAGCCTAAGTTTCTGTTTATATGTAAGTGAATTCTTATTCAAGCTTTTAACTTCCTAACAAACTATCTAGAAATTATTCTATAGGTTCAGGGGCTGTTTGGTTTTAGGCTAAGGGTAAGGGAATGGTTGGCAATTTTTATAGGATATTTGTTACGCATGTTATACCTAATTTGTTCTTGCTTACAATTAATTAATGCAGAGGTTGACAGAATGTGGAAAAAGGGCACGATCTTTCCTTAATCAGTATCACAGATGTGGCAACAATAGCTATGCAAATCAACAAGCTGATTATGTACGGCTTATATACATATATGTTATTGTTATGTTTTGTCTTCATTCATTGTGCTTCTTGTTGATATTGCTATATCTCTTTAATACCCTTTGCATTTGCATTATCAATTCATAGGAAGACGAACATGGAGAACCAATGAGCTTATTAGCTCTTTGGATTAAATCTCACTCGGGTAAAGATGGAAGCTTTCTCCCTGGCACAGACACTGAAGATTTTGTGGTACAATCTGATGTCATATTTTTTTTAGTTTATAAATTTTATAAAATGATGATGACTAATTGCATAATCCCTATTATTTTGTGTAGGATGATGTAAAAGCTAAGGTTGAGCAGCTTAGGTTGATGTACCCTATGAAGTCACAGACAGAGCTAGAAAATGAAGCTTTTGAGAAAACGATGTATAGCGATGAGATTCCCGATCGTCCTGTGGGTTATGGACAAGGGGTAAACAAGGGTGATATCTACGGAGTGCATGGTGTGTTAAGGAAAGAAGGGTACGGAAAATTCCAAAGAAGAGTTAATTTAATGGATAATGTTAAAGAAGATGTGGCTACTTTGTACAAAAAGAATGAGGTGCTTGAAAAAGAAAATGAAAAGCTCAAAGACCAATAAGGAATTATTTTTTACAGTGCTCAGACCATCAGGCTTATGTGGTCGACTATCTAATTTAATTTTTTTAGTGTCATCTTATCTGATGCTTGTTTATTGTCAACAACATAAGCCTAAGTTTCTGTTTATATGTAAGTGAATTCTTATTCAAGCTTTTAACTTCCTAACAAACTATCTAGAAATTATTCTATAGGTTCAGGGGCTGTTTGGTTTTAGGCTAAGGGTAAGGGAATGGTTGGCAATTTTTATAGGATATTTGTTACGCATGTTATACCTAATTTGTTCTTGCTTACAATTAATTAATGCAGAGGTTGACAGAATGTGGAAAAGGGCACGATCTTTCCTTAATCAGTATCACAGATGTGGCAACAATAGCTATGCAAATCAACAAGCTGATTATGTACGGCTTATATACATATATGTTATTGTTATGTTTTGTCTTCATTCATTGTGCTTCTTGTTGATATTGCTATATCTCTTTAATACCCTTTGCATTTGCATTATCAATTCATAGGAAGACGAACATGGAGAACCAATGAGCTTATTAGCTCTTTGGATTAAATCTCACTCGGGTAAAGATGGAAGCTTTCTCCCTGGCACAGACACTGAAGATTTTGTGGTACAATCTGATGTCATATTTTTTTTAGTTTATAAATTTTATAAAATGATGATGACTAATTGCATAATCCCTATTATTTTGTGTAGGATGATGTAAAAGCTAAGGTTGAGCAGCTTAGGTTGATGTACCCTATGAAGTCACAGACAGAGCTAGAAAATGAAGCTTTTGAGAAAACGATGTATAGCGATGAGATTCCTGATCGTCCTGTGGGTTATGGACAAGGGGTAAACAAGGGTGATATCTACGGAGTGCATGGTGTGTTAAGGAAAGAAGGGTACGGAAAATTCCAAAGAAGAGTTAATTTAATGGATAATGTTAAAGAAGATGTGGCTACTTTGTACAAAAAGAATGAGGTGCTTGAAAAAGAAAATGAAAAGCTCAAAGACCAATAAGGAATTATTTTTTACAGTGCTCAGACCATCAGGCGTATGTGGTCGACTATCTAATTTAATTTTTTTAGTGTCATCTTATCTGATGCTTGTTTATTGTCAACAACATAAGCCTAAGTTTCTGTTTATATGTAAGTGAATTCTTATTCAAGCTTTTAACTTCCTAACAAACTATCTAGAAATTATTCTATAGGTTCAGGGGCTGTTTGGTTTTAGGCTAAGGGTAAGGGAATGGTTGGCAATTTTTATAGGATATTTGTTACGCATGTTATACCTAATTTGTTCTTGCTTACAATTAATTAATGCAGAGTTTGGCAGAATGTGGAAAAAGGGCACGATCTTTCCTTAATCAGTATCACAGATGTGGCAACAATAGCTATGCAAATCAACAAGCTGATTATGTACGGCTTATATACATATATGTTATTGTTATGTTTTGTCTTCATTCATTGTGCTTCTTGTTGATATTGCTATATCTCTTTAATACCCTTTGCATTTGCATTATCAATTCATAGGAAGACGAACATGGAGAACCAATGAGCTTATTAGCTCTTTGGATTAAATCTCACTCGGGTAAAGATGGAAGCTTTCTCCCTGGCACAGACACTGAAGATTTTGTGGTACAATCTGATGTCATATTTTTTTTAGTTTATAAATTTTATAAAATGATGATGACTAATTGCATAATCCCTATTATTTTGTGTAGGATGATGTAAAAGCTAAGGTTGAGCAGCTTAGGTTGATGTACCCTATGAAGTCACAGACAGAGCTAGAAAATGAAGCTTTTGAGAAAACGATGTATAGCGATGAGATTCCCGATCGTCCTGTGGGTTATGGACAAGGGGTAAACAAGGGTGATATCTACGGAGTGCATGGTGTGTTAAGGAAAGAAGGGTACGGAAAATTCCAAAGAAGAGTTAATTTAATGGATAATGTTAAAGAAGATGTGGCTACTTTGTACAAAAAGAATGAGGTGCTTGAAAAAGAAAATGAAAAGCTCAAAGACCAAGTCCCCTGTTTATAAGAGTAAGTGTGAGGGAATTGATGTTTTGGTAATTTAATTCCTGGTGTTTGTATGTTTGATGGGATCAACAATCGGTACTTTGCCATTATATTTTTTTTATGTCCTATGGGTAAAATCAATTTTGCGTTGTTGGGGTGTGGATTTTGTTGATAATAGGAGATGCCGAGAGTCTTGAATGCTGGTTCATTTGGATGATTTTCCCCTGTTTCCTCTGTTATTGTTGGGGAACTCAAACTCTCAATTGTTTGTGCTAGTATGAGGGGTTTAATGGCTGCTACTACCTGTCTTTCTGCTACAGTAGCTCTCTTTAGGGCCGAATCTCAGCCACTGGTTTGTATGTGGCTACTAAAACTGAAGGTGGGCTTTGGTGGCTGTCAAGTGGTTCAACTAGTTTTAGGGGGTTTGAGAATATGGTGCCTTTGGTGCAGGACAAGTTCATATGCTACTTAGTCACTTTATCTTATTAAATTAAATGCAGTTAAACTTCGTATTTATACTATATAATAATTTATTGATTTATATTTTCTAATTTTTGTTGTAATTTTCACATATGAAGGTTGGAAAAGGTACGATGAAGGGGCTAAAGCAGAAGGACAATGATAAAACGAGTTAGATTGTGGAGGCAAGTAGACTTGACAGCTAGCCTAATTCGGTTTGGTGCGACGACTCTATGATGTTAATTATTCTTAGTATATATTTGTTCTTATTTGGAGACACTAGTATTAGTAGCAAACAAGGTTTCTAATAGTAATTATGTTGTTAATATTTTGGATCATTTTAGAATGATGTTAAAAATATGTTGGTTTAAATTTTTAATATATGTATTGAAGTTTTTTTCTATATATATATATATATATATATATATATATAATTTTAGGTCTAAATTAGATTGGAAAATATTTTTTTTTTTGTAAAAAGGTACGAATAATCTCGATGCATATCCATGTCGAAAATTGTTAATTTAACTAAAATATGGACATGAAAAAGCGTCTCCACTTTTTTAGATTGTAGACATCAAAAAATGTCGACAACATTGAAAACATGAAAATAAAAATTAAATAAATTAGAAATTGTGGTCATAAAAAAGCGTCGAAATATCAGATATTGGAGACACAAAAAAGCGTCGAGAAATTCTTTCATACGGCGCGAAATACAGAAAATTTAGACGCTCCGTATAAATATAAGGACGCAAAAAAGCGTCTAGAATCTCGACGCGTTTTTACGTCTTCATAAAATTCTCGACATCAAATTTCTCGACGCTTTTTGAAAGCGTTGAGAAATTAAACGTCGAGAAAAGCCTTAATAAGCGTCGAAAAAAGGCGGGATTTCTAGAAGTGCTAGGCACCGCCAGCACTCCAAATGACTCATTTTTGGAGGAGTGCGACGAGGAATTTGAGAACCCCGGGCCGAGTGGATCGGTGCCGGATGATGAGTTGGGGGAGGACACTGCTGGCAACAGCCGGAAGTCCCCTAGCTCCGATGAGAGTTCTGATGACTCGGCATCATCGTCTTCCAACTGCGTCCCCCTTGACTCAGAGGAGGCGCATTCGAACTTAAAGGCTGCCAGAGAGTCCCTCTCCGTTGATAAGGAAGAGGGTTGGGCAGAGCCGTCTGCTTCCAGGCGGCATGAACGTGCGCCCTACTTCTGCACGTTCCGGAAGGCAGGCGGAAGATTATGGCGGATCATCTTCCAAAATTTCTTTCTACTCATGCCATGGGGCATGGGTATCTTCTGTCTGTGCCGGATGGTGAAGACACGGTCACCTGGCCTGAGATGGCTGTTTATGGTGACCAGTGTTTCGGCTGCTACGAGGCGGCCATCCAGGCAGGACTCCGCTTTCCTCTCCATCCGGCCGCGGAGAGGATCTTGGACGGATACCAGCTGGGTATCTGGCAACTAGCCCCCAACTCTTGGGTAAATATCTTGGGCTACGTTGCTGCCTGCGAGATGCTGGAGGTGGATCCCAGCTTTGAGGCGTTTGCTCATATGCACTATCTGAGCAGGACGCCCAATCCAAGTGGTATCGGCTGGTTTATGCTGACCAGCCATACAAAATACATGATGACGCTGGGGAAAGAGAACAAATGGAAGAACTGGCGGACCAAGTTTTATATAGTCTCTTCCCCAGACGCCCAAAGGAACAAGTGGTACAACCGCTGGACTCAATATCCTCTCCTCTTGGCTGGGAAAAAGGCTCTTCCGCCTGTTCCCAGGCGAGCCCAAGAGGAGATTTTTGACCGGGGCCTCTTCTCTGTGGCCGTCCGGACATACAAAGAGACGGGGGTTAAGGAGGTTACCCCCCAGAGCTATATTCTCCGATTCGAGTGGCTTTCGGACGAGACGTACTTGGCTGCCTGTGGGCTAAGTACGGAGATGCCGGGAGGTAGTTGGCCGCATGATTTTATTACCTTTTGCTTACTTGCGACTATTTCTTTTTTTCTAACACTTTGTTTCTTGTTGCAGATAAAGCAATGACAAAGCTTCTGGCCCATAAGAAACCATCCCTCTCCACCGCCTTCTACCGCGCAAACATAAAGCAGACGGATGAGCAGCCGGCAGGCGGCACACCTAAGGTAATGAGTCTGCAAAGGCTTCCCTTAGTGAATTGTATTCTCATACTTTGTTTTTGAAACTCATATTTGGACTTCCTTTCATAGTGCTTCATCCAAGCACCCCCTTCCTCTCCGCCGGACCCCAAGCTGCAAAAGCAGGCGGCTGGTGACGTCTCCTAGAGCCGGAGGAAACACGTCGCCAGTAAACCTGCCAAGAAGGGGACAGGCGCCTCTTCCCCTACCATAACACCATCAAAGCCGGACGCTCTTCAACAAGTGTCGAAGAGTGGAAAAACGCCACTCACCACTGCTGGCAGCACAGCAGGCGGCAGCGAAGCTGCCGGGGGAGAGGGAGGTAAGCCATCCGACCATTCGACTATGCACTTCATAAAGGGCACAATATTCAGTTTCTGACTTAGCTGTATTTGTTTGATAGATACCCCAGCGAGGCCAACTGTCCTCCAGATGGCCAGGCGGATGCTCAAGTCGCTTGACCCTGAGGACAAGGCGTCCGTCAGGGGAGTCGGCACCCTAGATCTGGACGACATACTGGCGCTTCTTGGCGAGGTACAATTCCTTACAACTTAACCTATGTACACATTTTTTTTTGTCGAATGGTTACTGACATGTTTTTTTTTGATCGGGGCGCTTGCAGGCTATGCTGCGCGTTAGTGGTCTCAAAGGGCCCCTTAACGAGAAGACCAGGGAGGTAAAGGCAGTGAATGCTCAGGCCGCCTCTACTTTGGACAAAGCTCAGTTTGAGATTGCTCAAAATGAGATTCTGACACTTGATATGTTGTATTCCCAGGCGTCTGCCAACCTGCAAGTTCAACAGAACTTGGACGCGGCCAAGCAGCGGGTGAAGGAGCTCCAGGACCAGGTCAAGGGCCTCAACGAGCAGCTGGACAACCTCAAGGAGGCAGAGTCCAAAGCGACTAGCCTAGAGGCGACGGTCAAGAGACTTAGAGGTCAGCTGAGCAACCAGGAGAAACAACTCCGGACCAAGTATAGGTCCTTGATGGAGGTGGAGAAACAAGCCCTGGTCAAACAAATGATGGACGACAACGAAGTCATCATGCGTGCGGCCTGGGCGACTGCTCAGCCGTCTGCCGATTATCAAACCTGGAAGGTCCAGTTTGATAAGGCTAATGACAAGTTCAATGCCCGTCTCCTTAGAGAGGCTAAAGAGGCGGCCGAGAAGGATGCGGCTGCCAAGAGTGCCTCGGGGGAGTCTAGCTTGTCTGGCGGCTCGTCTGGGGACGAGGAGGAGGGTGAGGAAAATAGAGAGCATGCGCCGGAGGAAAATGTGGATGCCGATGCTGAGAAGCTCCCCTGATCTTTAAGCTTTACCTGTCTTTCTGCGGCCGAATGGCCATATATTTATCTTTCCGGCCTGCGTTCCGAGTATATGTGTATCTTTACCGACCGAGGGGTCGGGTAAATTAACAATTTCTCTGGATTTGCCAGCAAACAATCTTACCCAGTCGTCTGGTGGCGACTGGGCTTTTTAATTTGAAATCATTCGGCCGTTTGGCTGAAGTATTCATATTGTTGTTCTTTAAATTTTTTCATTGCATGTTTTTCGGCTAAGTATTATAACCTGTATACCATGCGAATGTTCTTGCCCCTGGACGGATGTTAAGTGGTTTCGGTTGAGTGAATTGATTGACTTAGAAATTATTGATACTTAGAAGAGTATGCATGGTTTCTAAGTCAATCAATCACTATGGTGATTGCCCCAAACCACGCGACAGACGGCCATCCAGAGCTAATGAAAAATTGTTTTCATTTGGCCATTGGAACAAACAAAATACAAAATTCTTG